CCAGACGAACGGTTGGTCTCGGCCGCTGTTTGTTGGTGGGTGGTTCTAAACCCTTCTGACAGGCTGCACCAGGAGATTCCAAGTCGCGACTCAGCGCGTTTGTCTCTGGTGGCAATCTCATGAGGGTGCAAGATGTCTAAGTAAATGCCTTACACCCTGCACACCGAAAACGATGCGCTGGAATCCCCAAAGTCTAAACGCGGAAAGTGTCACGTAGTCGGACCGGTCGTTTCGAGGTCATTTGACGATCCTGACGAGAGTAGTTCGATATGCTTTCATCGCTTGCATCGCAACAAGCGCCGAATAGACGAATCGCCCGCCCGCAACCCTGGCTTGGAGAGGTCTTGGAGTCTGGAGATGCGTGACACTTTCCCTCCCCATGGACCGTGGCTGGCGCAGGACTGCGGCGGGGGAGGGGGCCAGCTGTGCGCCAAGCCTGAACGTGCCGAGCTTGGCCCCGAGCTCATGCAGCGATAATCTGCATACCAAGACACGCCTCTCTCTCTCTCTCTCCAGACTCCAGAGTTTCCAGAGTTGAGGACGCTCATAGTCCATGGACGCTCAAGAATGTCATCGACATGGCACTACTCATCCACGCCGCAGGGAGGGGAGCGCGGAAGGGAAGGAAAGCGGCGACGGCGAACATGGGCCAGGCATGCAGTAGTCCTGGCAGACAACGGCAGACTTGATGAGATGCGCCCGTTTCTGGCCAAGCGCCCGGTGGCCGTGGTCCAGTGATGACATGCCTTCTCCTTTTCTTACCTAGTGGTCCTGGCAAAGTCATCGTCACCGTTTGACATGGTTTTGGTAGGTATGTGTGTTTGACTGTATGTGGACTAATTTGGAGGTGCGGTTACCTGCTTACGTTTGATGACCTCCTGAATCTCACGATCGCTTCATGTAATTTCAGAATTTTCACCAACAAACGGCCTACAGAACAAGAGTGTCAGAGTTTTCTCCCCCTAAAACTCCCGATTATCTTCATTCGGGTTACTTTCACCCGCGTTTGGTGGGGTCCCCGAGGGGTATTCTTTATCCGACATGAACCTGTCCCGTGGGAATAAGAACCAGTGGGCCTGTCACAGCCATGGCCCAACGATTAAAAGTAAGGAATTCCCATAATTCCATAATTCCATTGAAAAAAGGTGCCCCCGTGGAGAAGCAGACTGGAGACTTTTGGCATAGGGACTTGGGGAAAGCGCCATAGAAGCGCCGAAGAGGCAGGCAACAAGCGTCCAGCGCCGTCCCGAAGGCAGGTCCAGTCCTTAGGTAGTTCTTGCCAGTTGGTGCCAGACTGCCATTCCACAGTACCTACCTACCTAGGTGCCTTGATCTTGAGGATACGTACCCGTAAAGTACCGAAGTACCTTCCCCGGCCACTTTTGTGTGGCGCTCATTGGCTCCGTCGCCTCCCTTCTTTCCCACATCTTCCCCGGTATCAGGCCCTTCCTTTTGAGTCTTGGTCTGATGAGCCACCGGTCCCTCCCTCCGATTCGCCCATGTCAGTCCCCAAAACATGACACACCCAGAACCCCCGGTCCCTGTTGCCCCGTCATCCTTCCGAGAAGGAAGAAAGTCTTCGTAAGGAATTGGCAATGTCTTGCCTTGACTTGCTCGCAGCCTTCCACGTTGGCGCATCTTCAAGTCAGGCAATTGGATGATGCATCACTAATTCATTTGCGCAGGCGGCCTGCGTCCGACTCTGGCGCCTTTGGCTACCACCTCTCTGTGCCTCTGCGACAGCCCGTCGTGACTGGCGATGCTTTGCGACACGATGCGATGCGATGAGATTGGGTGGTGAATCTGCGGCCGGACTCAGACATAATGGCAGCATTGCGGTCTCTGACTGTCAGTAATCGAGACACGAGGCGCCCGTGTGGGTTTTCTTCCCTTGCCGCTCCCTGGCCAAACATCTCCACTGCCGTCGTTCAACGGACCATATGGTTCAGCGCCATTTCTCTTCAGCCGCCGACATCCGCCAGCTCATTCGTTCGTGATGAGATGGGCACATGTCGACCGGCACGCTCGCTGTACGAACAAGTAGGTATGGTATCCGATCCCAAGGGCCACCCTACCTAGTCCAAGCCGCAACGTTGGAGCCCCAAGGGCTCTCCCGCATGCTCTCCTGCAGCCCTCCAATACGTCTCTCCCTATCCGTGGATACCACAAGCTACAACGCCTTACGCTTGAGCTCTCGACGCTTTTGTGTGAAGCTCGCTTGACTGTTCTTGGCTCAACTAGGCCATCTTCAGGCTTCAACACCTACAATCGAACTCGCTTAGACGGTCACTTGAAGCTATTCGAGCCATTCAACCTCGCCAAAACCTACAACTACAGTCTTTGCTAGCCGCTGCATCTCGCTATTCGGACTGCATGAGATGGATGCAACCCCATTCAATCCATCCCATCTTCATCCCGCACTTTCACGCCCTCCCCCAACTTCTCCCCATCCCATCCAACTTTTTCTTTCTTCCCCCAAGTTTCCCCATCATCTTTCCTTCAATCCCCCGGCCCCGGCCCCAAATGGGACAATGCTCGGTGGTACTCAATGCGCTAACTACCTACAAATCCCTCTATTTGGAGTCTACTATGGTAGACGCTTCGTCTTGGTGTCCAATTTGGCCGAGTTCCTGTCCGTTGTGGATCGCCTCACATGCACTTTCAGACGCCGTCTGTCTCTCTTTCTCTCCGCCTGGAGATATCGGGGTCTCCAAGTAACCCCATATCTCCAGCTTCACGAAGCCGGTACCCAATCACGACGTTGCTTCCACCAGATCGCGCGCTTGCTCGTCTGATTTCGCGGGTGCTTTCGGGGCTCCGCGCTCACCATTCAATGAGCCGTACGAAACAGCCGTCCGTACGAAGCCACCGCCTATAATCGGAAGAGTCACGTCGTACCACCACCCCACCCGAGTCAGCGCGCGTTGCTGTTAAGAGGGCCCAAAGTCCGAATGACCAACAAGTTTTCCCTCCCCGGCGCTCCAGATTTGGGCTCCCTCCCCCCCGGCGCCTGTTCGCCAGTGGGCGCCTTCCGAGCCATCCCTGGTCGGCCTCCGTACCCAGGTGCTTACTTTTACCTGTCACGGCCGTGATATCGGCCCGTCTTTGATGACGGCCCCATTCAGCCATGCCCGAAATCACGACAGCGGCTTGTCAACACTGGCGCGTCGCCTTGCCTTGCCTGCTTCAGTGCTTCATCGCCTCGGCTTTCGGCCGAGTTTGGGCTTGGTCTCGATTCTTTTTCCCCAGCCCACCGCCCTCGTGCTTCTCTCCAGGACTCCTCTTTGTTCTTCCCCATGGGAAACTGGTAAAACGACCGCGTTTTCGCCGGCCGCCTGATCTCTGACGCACCGTTCGTCTCGGAACGTGAACTACAGATACGAACAAGCTTACAAACCGCCAGACCGGTACCAATAGACCGACAGATTGTCACCGCACCGCAAACTCTGTCACTCCACGGGGTCTCCGGACGCGGGCACGGTGTCGGTCTCCGCTCGGAAGGATTTTTCTCTCCAGCAAAACCACGAACATCCAGATTCTCTCTCCACTGCGGAGAACGTATCATTAAACACCCCTGCTACCCCTGCAAGAAGAAAATAATCACCCCCAAGATCTCTGCTGAAGACTTGCGGACACAGCCTGAACCGTGGACCGTGAACCTCACACGATGTTCATCACGTGGTGTCTCGACTCAGACCTGAAGTTCGTCCGCTGTTTTATTCGCACGGGGCCGCCATGAGCACAGGAAAAGCACAGGCTGCGGTACGCTGCACGTCCATCCCAGCAACCAGGCCATCCCCAGCCCATCCCGAGTCCTCGGGACATGTGAGTCGCAGGGCCCTTGAGTGGCAACGCTGACCCGCGTCTTTGGTGTTGGCCGATGATGCTGGCGCCGTGCACGCACGATCGTTGTCTCTTCCCCCATTCCAAATGCCCGTCCTCTTGGCTGCCGTGGCTGCTAAAGCTAATGATCGATAGGTAGTGTATATGGATCCAAACCACCGGATTCTAGCGTGGTAGTCAGGTGCAGCTGTGCCCAGGTCCGAGCTCGATCCCTGTCCGGCACCGCCGCCATCGAACCTCGGAACTTGTCGTCGTCACTGACCTGTCACCAACCCGCAGATTAATAATGGGAGTGTTGAATAACACCTTCGGTATGGACTGATCTCGACCGGCGGCCGGCTCCGTTGGCCTTCCACAGTGCAACACCGCTACGTTACCCTCCATCCAAGTGCCGCTACGGTATCTAACCTTTGCCTCCCGCCAATCCCACCCATCTTCCTACTTCACCGTCTCTCTGCTCGCGGGGTTGAGCTTCTCTTTGTCGTGATGACTGGTTCGATCATTGAGACAATGCTGATCTGGGGTAGCCGCCATAAAAGCGCCGCAGCGCGCCAAGTCGAAGTCCTCAATTGCGGAAATGGTGAGCTATTGAAGGATCAAGCCAATCGAATCCCTTCGTGGCTTGTCACCTGCCAGCTAGAAGCGCACAGGTCGAAGGATCAGCCACTCGATTCTTCTGCCACCATCCAATGGCCGTGCTTTCGTCCTTAGAGCCGCAGAAGGACTGTCAACACTCAAAGGTTGCAGAGTTCCTCGATTAGGATTTCTCAGGTTTCACAGGCGACAGGCGGGCATGGTGGGCAAACCAAGTGGTTGGATTGGTGCTTCTCTCCTTTTTACACAGCCTCGCCAGCATAAGCATTCTTCACAAAGAATTAGGTCACGCGCAAGTGTGCGCCGACCTCCAAGCCCCAAACGAGGATTTGACACTACAGAAGCTCCCTTTGTCTGGTCGTCGGACTAGCAATACGCTTCTGTCGTGGTCGTTTCTCGATTGCGGGGTTGGTGTCTGTTAGTGTCCGGTGCAGGTTCTTTCCCGCCACTCCGAAGAGCTAGAAATAACCGATTTTTCTGTAAATCAATTCCCAATCAGTGCTTAGAATAGTCCAGTTTTTTTTTCAATCTACTTGTCGCAGAGCTGTGAAGATCAGAGGAGTCGCGAGTTGAACTAATCCTAATTACTCTGTGATCTGTATTCATCCTCTCGATCCCGTGATACCATCGTGCGATCCGGACTTAAGCGCTCTCAGTGACACTGCAGCTCAGTGACGATGCCAATCGCAAGTTTGGCTTTCCTGAATCGGCTCAGCTGCAGCTTTTTTGGTCGGGTGGCGCTTTTTGGTCTAACTGCTTTACCTTGTCGCGTTTGCCTAACACTCTGGTTCCCGGCCCCCCGTTTTCCTGCCGGTAGTCGTCGGTTAAAAGTGGCGAAAGATGCAAGGGCTTGGAAGGGGCTTGGCATCTGCCTTTTTGGTTCTGATGGTGACGACAACGGAGATGAGGTGATATGTTTTTGGTGATTAGCTGGCGATCTTGATTTTGATGGGTTGATTCCTGTGATTGGGGACGTGTTAAAGTTACCCAGTGGGCAAAGCTTACCACCCGATATTTTCGCCTTCCACCCAGATTGTTGTTCTTGCATTAAAACTTGATCTCGGTTGATTCTCATGGTGTAAAGTAGTTTCAAACGAATACAAACTTTCCATTGTCGTGGTGTTCTGACTTTTTTATATCAATAATTGTGCTTGGTTTGTTATTTCTACATTCAGTATCGGAAATTGATGTGGTTAGACAGAAGAAGTTGGTGTAATCCTGACGAACAATCTAGGAACCTCGATCATGCTTGAGGACTCTGGGGCTTTCCCCCGGTGCCGTATAATAGATGTTCTTACTTGTTTTCTTACCTAGTGTCAGTACCTGTTGGTCCTCATCGTCGTAATTGTGTTTGAGTTATTCTACCGGGGTGGGATACAGCGAGATATAATGAGTTTCAGTGCAGTCCGATTGGAAGCACCATGGTGATTTCAAGTTTGTCTAATAGACCTCCGGGCACACGACTTGAAGAAGGAATAACTGAGTTTGTTGAGAGTAATGGAGTTCTTGCACCGCCAAACATTAGCTAAGTTTCAGCTCCAACAATACCCCAGCTGTCTCCCCGTGATTTTTGTTCCAGCTACTGATAAGCTACTTGGTGGAGATCTTGACTATTGCGCCTAGTCGTTTTAACTCAGCTATCTGGTTCTTGTTTGTTCAATATGGCCTTATACTAATTCAGTTCCCCAAGACACCTCTTCTTGACATGTCTTGAGCGTTGGTTAAGTAACTTTCATCCCCAAATCCTGCATGTACCAACACCGCCTTCGGGTCTGAAGACACTTACCACGAGCCCAGTACCGTACTTAAATGCTCTACAAGTGAGGCCTAGGCGAGAAGACTAGGTGCTTGACCCGTCACCGAGTTGAGCGTCTCTGTGAAAGGCCGGGCCCTCGTATGCGAGCATGGCATCCAGCAATATTTAGTGACTGGTTTCGACCCGATGCTATTCATCACAGCCAGGTACCTAGCTACAAGCCCCGGATTGTAGCTGGATGGAGAACAACTTCATCATGCAGGTCTCTCTGGACTGAAGTCGCAGATACCAAGACGGCAAATATGTGTTCTAGAGAACGACGGTATGTATATGGATCCTAGAGCTTTGGCGCAGTGCCAAACCCCTGAAGTAGATGCACCTTAGTTTTGACGTCGGACAACTCACATGAAGAAACCTCATTTTGTAATTCGCTGCCTCAAATCAGGCTGTATCCAATCTGGTGATTTGCAGCCGCCGAGTGTGGCTGCCTCATGCAGGCTGAGCGACAGGGCAGATTTTACCCCTCTTCTACGTCCAACGATGAGTTGTCTACCCTCTTTCTTGGCCTCACCACGTCTGCCCTTCTCTATCTCTCCCTCTTTCTCCGCCGTCCTCACTAATCTATCAGACTATCCCGAAACTCGGCCAGATTTCACAGTATTCACAATTATCTAGATCTGCCCATTTCTCTGGCCCAGGGAAACCCGGCTGGATCAACGCCAACATGTCAGGCCTCGAGGCTCTCGGCCTGGCGTGCAACATCTTTCAAGTCATCAGCTTCGGTCGCGAGACAGCCAGCCTGGTCAAGCGCGTATACCGAGATGGCACCGTTGACGACGCCCTCGAGGCAAACGCCAAGGACCTCGCTCAGCTTGCAAAGCACGTTCAGACCTTGGAAGTTCCGAAGAGCCCGACCAAGCAAGAGCACCAACTGCTCGAGATCGCCAAGAAGTGCCAGGCCGTTGCGAGAGACTTGACGGAAGAGATCGCATTCATTGTTGGTCACAAGAAGAAAGGAAGCCTTGCTGCAACAATAAAGGTGGCTGCCAAGGCGAACTGGCGAAAGAGACGGCTTGATACCATGGAGAGGAAACTGAATGATGCCGAGAGGCTGATGCAGAGCGGTCTTCTTGCGCGGATCTGGTAAGTTTACGGAGTCTGAGTTTCCCATGAGCCACATTTCCAATTAATAAGTCTTGCCTCCACATAGTCAAAAGGCTGATGCCATGCACGTTGATCTGAAGTCACTTGACATCAGCCTGCAACACTTCCTGGGGCAATATCAACAAGGCCATAGAGACACGTCTGACCTGATATCCACGGAGATGTTCAGGACACGCAACCACGTCACCTATGAATCACACAAGGCCACAGATCAGATTCGGTCAATGGTAGATCAGCAGTCTGCGCAACTTGATACAACTATACGGAGCTCTAATCGGCAAGTCTCAGCTGGGATGGCAGCTTTGAGTCTTGACAGAGACCGAGAGGCTAAACGTCAACGTTTCCTCGCAAGCTTCAAATTCCCGAGAATGAACGAGCGCCGAAACCAAGTCAGCGAATCATGCGAAGGTACATTTCAGTGGATTTTCGCAGACGACATGGGGATGCTCGAAGATCCGGACAACGATACAGAATGGACAAATACAGAAAGCGAAAGCTTTAAAATGAGCGGCGATTCTTGTTATCAAGCTGACGACTCCGACTGGAAAGATGACTCGGCCAAGCGGAACAGTGCTCCAGAACAAGATGACGGAATCCGCTGGGACTCCTTCATAGACTGGCTTAGGTCCGGCAGCAAGATCTTCTGGTGCAGCGGCAAGCCCGGCTGTGGAAAGTCCACATTGATGAGATACATCAGATCCGATCCGCGGACTACAAGCGCACTGGAAGTATGGAGCCCTGGCGCGCTTTTAGTTTCGCACTTCTTTTGGCGCCCGGGAAGCCTGATGCAACAGAGTATTAGAGGAATGTTTTGTTCGTTGCTGCACCAGCTTCTGGCAAGTGGTCCGTCTATTCTCGACAGATCTAGGCTTGCTTGTTCATCGGCTGGAGAGAAGGATTCAGACACAGACTGGTCTACCAAGGAACTTCAAAGTCTATGCTTCAACACAATTGAGCAATACAATCGGCCCATTTGCTTATTCCTAGATGGTCTAGATGAGGTGAGCTCCGATGATGGTGTAGTGCGGCTCATAGAAACCATACATGACTTAGGCGCCATCCCAAACGTCAAAGTTTGTGTTTCAAGTCGACCTGAGTACCTCATTGAAAAGCACCTGGGTCGCGGCCGCTATCCATTCATCCACTTGCAAGACCTTACGAATCAAGACCTACGAACGTATATCCAGAGCCACACCAACTTTCCTCCTAAATTCAAGATGCGAGACTTCTGGGGAGATCTAGAGGACCCGATAACAGTCCTCGTCGATAAGGCTGAAGGCGTTTTTCTCTGGCTCTGCCTGGCCATTCAAAGTTTGAATCGAGGATTAGACCACGAAAACAACTTGGATGAACTAGAACAAAGAATACGGAGCTTGCCTACCGGTCTGAGCAATCTGTACAAAGACATGTGGGCAAGACTGAATGACGATCAATTACTGTATCGCCAGAAGGCTGCGCTTTATCTCCGTCAAGTAATTGCCAACCAGAGTCCCAACTCGACCAACAGCTTCGGAAACGGTCTCAATGCGTTTGCTATGATGCTTATAACGACTTCGATGGCGGACCGTATTCTCGAACAGCATGGGCACATGATCCATCCTAGTACCCTCATCACAGCATGTCACAGAACCCAAAGCGAGGTGCTCGTTCGATGTTCTGGGCTACTAGAGCTTCCAGAATCCACAGAGGTTTCCTCTTCGGATACGGTAACCCCATGGAATTGTGATCAATACGACTCAGTGATGCCTCACATCATAAGCGAAAGAACTTTCCAGTTTATACACCGCAGTGCATGTGACTTCCTCTTGGATACGCCTGAGGGGGGAGAGATCTTGAGTCACTGCACATTATCAAATACGGAGCTCCAGCGTCAAGTGATTTTGGCTTGGGTTGCAATCTGTCAATTAGTGCTAATTAAACCAGATTATTCCTGGTTCACAATTTGTGAAGACGGTTGCTTGAATGAGCTTGACTGGATCTTCTCATCTATCAAAACCACAATTTCGGATAGTTTGGGCCAACCAGGTTATCGGAAAGAAGACTGGATGCATCTCATGAAGGCCTGCGAGCGGCTTTGCAGATCAGGGCGGCTGGTATCTATTTACGGCCAACCGATCAACATTTTCGGCCATGTTTCACATACCAAATTTTACACAATCGCCGCACGAAATGGATTGCTGCAAGTTGCCTTTTCCGATGTAGAATATCTCGATTTTCCACCCGAGATTCTCTCGCAGCTACTTTTTGAGACCTGCTGCCACCCTAGTTTACACCCGAGGACGGTATCGTATGCTGATAGTAGTCGACTGGCTGCGGAGCTTCTCAAGCATGGAGCTGACCCAAACGCAAAATTTACGACAGGAACTTTTCCAGAGGTACTTGAGACACCACTTTCTGTGATTCTTCGGAATGAGACCCACGTGGGATACAGAAGTCGCGAAACATGGCTCTTTCTGCTGCACACTTTAGATTGTTTCGCAGACCATGGGGTGGATTTTCAACAATGTGTCTTCACTTCATTTCATTACGGGTTTGATAGGTGTATTGTTGCCTACAATTACAGCCCCATCCTTACACCTTTGTCTCGGTGGGCCATTTACACCATTCTGCCGGCGGCTATTTTGATCGCTGCCGCTGCCGCAACCTATCGCACTCGAGGTTTGAGCTTTTCGCAGGAGTTCGAACACCTTTTGAGCCTTTTGGGCAGCAGCGTTGGGGCTCACGGCAAGTCCGAGGCTCGTGTTATTGGTTTACAGGACAGGCACAGCTCTCAGCCCAACTTTTGTGAAAAGCTCAGTCCTGAAGATTCGGATCACTTGTGTGAGTTTCTTATCAAGAAAACACTCCTGGGCTTCTCGCAATTGGAGAACCCAAGGGTTTTGTGCCCATTCGAAGCTGAACACCTGGGAAAGATGCTTGAAGCTGTGCTTGAAAAGAGTGAGTTGAGCACGAAGGGGATCGAAGATCACCTGATAGATATAGGTCTTGCAGAAGCGAAGATATACGTCGACGATGATGGCGTATGTTATTCCCAAGACGCTGCAGAGAAGATGATGCCCGAGTGGATAGTCAATTGGCTTGATGGGAGACGACTCATGTCTTGAGGCTCTTTTGGTTTTCCACAAAAGTATATTCACAAGTGATTGTATCCAAATGTATAGTGCAGCATCGAGTACCTCTGCAGTGCCCTTTCTTGGTGATTGGACTGTTTGCGTTTTGTGAATCTTGCAGAGGGGCACCCAAGTTCCGCCTGCTGAACTGCCACTTTCTCACCGAGGTCTTTTGGGGGCATGAACCATCAGCTGACTATGAAACTACAGGTAACGCTGATCTGAACTATACAGATTTCTCATTCCTTTTTGGGTCTTTGAGTAGTGATAGGATTATACCAACACCCCGAGGAACATATTAAGCCATTCATCCGTCCTACCAACAATTGCAAGCTTTTGCTGGCTGTAGAGAGTGACTCACTGGCTGACCAACTGTTTGAGGACGATGAGAAAGTTTCCACAGGCCCATTTTCTGATCACATAGAGTGTCGGAAAAGCTCTTATAGTGACTTACTTAGATGGCGGTGAGAGTGCGACTTAGCCATGGGTCCTAGGATGTCGAAAGCCGCGTTTGCAGGGTAACCGAAACTCAATTATAGGACTGTGGTATGCCGGAGCCGCCGAGCACCAGAAATACTCACCCGAGATTAAATCGGAACTCTATTGAGCTTTGGAGAAACCATTCGGCCAATGCCGCTTCCCGTATTTCTCATTACGGACGCCTGCCAGCTTGAAGGCCCCATTTGCAAGGTTCTTAGTGTTGTTGAAGAGTTGTCAGCATTCGCAACAGGTGAAGAATATAAGTACAGGAGGCAGAGCGTAACTCAATTCTCCAATGGAGCTGTGACGCTTTGACTGTCGAGAGCGTCAATTAAGCTGCCAGAAAACCAGGGGGTGTTTTTTTTCGGCTATTCCTTTACTTCTGTTCTTCGTTATCTCTCGACAGTATACAACTCATCATGCATTCTCGGATCGTCTCGTGCATGTCCCTATTCTTACTGGCCGCCATCGCAAGTGCGCAGTTCGAGGATCCAGAGCACCCATACGTCCCCCCAGCCATAACCGACCGCCGCTCGCCATGCCCAGCTCTCAACATTCTCGCCAACCACGGCTACATCAACCGCGACGGCGCCTTCATCTCAAGTGAAAGCGCCACGGTAGCTCAGATGCAAGCCTTCAACTTCTCCCGCGCCGTGTCAGCGGGCCCCGTCCCCGCGGCGCTGAAGTACTCCACCACGGGTGTGAACGGAACTTTCCACCTCGACGACCTCGCGCAGAAGCCACTGGATCACGATGGGAGCTTGAGTCGCGGAGACCTCGCGCTGGGTGATAACTTGCGGTTCAACAGGACTATTTGGGATTCTTTCGTGGCTAGGTTGCCTGACGAGTTCGTTACCTGGAAGCAAGCTGCCGAGGCTGGTGCTGCGAGACTTGAGGATGCGAGGAAGGAGAATCCCGAGTTCACGCTTGATGCTGCAGGGGTCGCGGCTACGGTGGAGCAGATGAGTGGTCTACTTGCTGCCTTTGGGGGAAGTGTCGAGGATGGAAAGGCGAGGAGGGATTGGATCAATGCTAGTTTCGTGGAGGAAAGGTTGCCGTGGTCGCTTGGGTGGAGGACGAGTGAGACGGTGCTTGAAGGGGCAGCTTTTGGACCCATGGCTAAGGCTTTGAGGGAGTATGCGCCTGGGGGTGTTTGATGGCAGACACCTGATAAGGAACAAACTCGACGTTCATGCACTGAATCGTAGGATATCCCTGTCAGATGTTCTGGGGTCAGTAGATTTCATTGCACGAACATCTACAACGCAGCGGTGTGGGGGAACTTCAACTCGGAGTCATGCAGCATCTTCAAATGAGCTCTCGCCTTGTGTGATGAAGCAAATAAGGTGGAATTGAGAGTTGCTAGTGAGGTACTACGTAAACATCTAGTCGTGACCAATAATGTTCTTGGGGATATAAGGCTCCTCCAGATACTTAGCTTCCTCATCTGTCAGAGTCTTGCCCCGCAGCTCGCATGCCTCATCGATTCTCTTGACAGAGTTGAAGCCGGTGATGGGAACTCCGCCCTTGTACCGAATCCAAGCGAGCGCAACATGGCTCATGCTCCATCCCTTCTTTTCCGCAATCTCCTCAACCCGGCGAATGATGTTCTCATCAGCTTCACTGAGATCAGGGTTCATCGGACCCTTGCCCTGGGATCGGATGCTGGTGTTCTCAGCCTTGACAGACCGCGCCAGCTTTCCGCCGTAGAGCGGTGACCATGGAAGAAGACCGACGCCCGTCTCCTTGCAGAAGCGGTTCATCTCGCGCTCTTCCTCGCGGTAGACGAGATTGTAGAAGTTCTGCATGCTGACGAACTTGGTCCAGCCGTTCTTCTCGGCGACGAACTGCATGCGCGCGAACTGGGTGGCCCACATGGAGCTGGCGCCGATGTAGTGGATCTTGCCGGCTTGAACGAGGTCATGAAGAGCCTTCATGGTCTCCTCGATGGGTGTGGTCGGGTCGAAGCGGTGGATCTGGAAGAGATCGATGTAGGTCGTTCCCAGGCGGATAAGAGCGTCATCGACAGCCTTGAAGATGGCCTTGCGAGAGAGGCCGCCTTGGTTGACGTAGTCCTTGCTCTGGCGTACTTCTTGAGGGAACATGGTAGTATGGAGGTTCGTCTCCTCGCCCACGTAGATGAAGCACTTGGTCATGAGAACGATCTTCTCGCGGGGAATGTTGAACTTCTTAATAGCCTTGCCGATGACCTCCTCGCTGACGCCGTTGGAGTACATGTTCGCGGTGTCCCAGGTGTTGATGCCACGGTCGTAAGCGGCCTTGAGGATCTCGAGTGATGCTTCCTCGTCCAGCACCCACGGCGCCCATTCGCTGGACCCGAGGGACATGCCGCCCAGGACTGGAACGGACACTCGGAGACCAGAGGTTCCCAGGTTTACGTATTCGACCTTGGTGGTGTCGAGGCTCTTCTGAAGAGAGGCGGGAACGGGAAGTGCAAACATTGCTAATAGAGGTTGCTTTGAAGGGAGTTGAGTGTTGCGGTGCTTTTGATTCTAGAGTTGCTGTCAAGATTGGAGATGTTGAGCTGAGCGTGGATTGATGAGATACTTATTCACGATGTCCGGCTGAAATTGCATGATTATATAGCAAACATCTCGAATCCTTCGTGACATTGATCATGACATTGAATGACCATCTTACCTTGAATGTCGGCGTGGATTCATCAGCACTGACCTAGGGTACTGAGGAGATAGTCGTAAAATCCGCATCATGAAGTCTTACACTTTGAGTATCACCAGGCTTCAGTTGGAGTATCGTGGCTTCAAGATGGTAAAACACGGTTAAGACCGTCTATGTCCATTGCTCACTGTGAGATGCACAATGAATGTTTGTCAGACAATGGTGGCTGGTTAGCTTCGTAGCCGGTATATCAACGGAAAATCTGCCACATTTCCACCGTCAGCTCGCCAAACAGTGCAGCGGGCAATTGACGGACTCTTTTCTTGTCCGTTCCTTTGGAGATTTCTTGAACACTGTCGCAGCATTTGGGACTTTGGTTCTTAAGACGCAGCGGACCTTGGCGCCTTTAGGGCCCAGCTCCGCAAAATCCGGGGTTTAAAGCTTAAACCCGGGGCAAATTGGCCGAGCCGGCTACGAACAAAACTTGCTTACATACCGGCCAACGGGCGGTTGCTTGGGGGTGCAGGCACTATCTTTGGTGCTCTGGTAACAGGCACCTTATGCGACAAAACACCTGTCAGGGGCCTTTACACGCGATTACGTTCAGCCATGATGGCTTCAAGCGCTCGTATATCGGACAGTTCTATGAGTTCGGCTTAATGGTCTACACGCGACGGCCAAGTTTGCGAGAATGGGCTGGTTCAGGGTCTGTCTTGGGTCTCAGGGACCCAGCTATCGCTTCTCATCTTCGTGATTGTACTGTCACCCTCATCGTGAAGTTGTAGTTGCGAGAATGTGCGAGCTTCTCTACCATACACAATTCAGCAGATAAAACGATTCGTATCGTTTGACGATTCCTTCTTGTCTTTCCCTCTGGTAATGAGATTACACAAGTGACTTGGAGTCAGGCTGCCAGGCTGTCAGACTGCCAAAGTTGCTTACAGTATTCTTAGGACTCGGTTGTCGTTGGTTTTAAGTGAGAGATTGAGTCAGCCAGTCTACTGTGGTTCAGCCATATTGAGATGTATGCGACTTCCAACAGGGTCCCCTGACTATTACGGTCGTTCGCACGAAATCCGCCCAGTTTTGTGGCACACAAATTAGTTACTATTCCCAATCCCGTTGTTGTCTCTATGTCATAGTAGGTACACATGTGGGAAGTTTTGAAGGCCCCCACTCGCAATTCGCCTGATCAAGCAGCGGTTTAACTCCGGCAACAATGGCTATGCCCGGTGCCCTGCCCATCAATAGCACCTCTCGACCACCAAAAATGCTCACTAAGAGACAAATTCGTGAACACCTAGAGCTTGAAACCCTTCCAATGTGCGACAAGTCCAACCAGTAGGATGGGCGTCTACCTACCTAGCTCAACATCACTGCAGAAGGCAGCCAACGAAATGAATTGGCAGACACGCCTCTTTGAGCTATTCTGAGACACGGCATGGAGTTAAGGTTGCTCGCGCCCGGCCAGCGGACCCCATCTGCGTCCCGACTCAAGCACTTTGAAAGTTTAGGGCCCCTCCCGACCATCTGGAACTGGTCCCCGCGGTCTCCGCTCCGCTCCCCCTTGCTAACTCCGTCATAGACTTGGGATGAAGTCGCAAGCGGCCATAGGTAGTATATAATGGTTTCGTTCAAACACGTTTTTCAACGTCATGTTATCAAGGAACTCCTCTCATCATAAGAGTTGAATTCATTAGCTCCACTATCATCTACATATCAATCACTATTGTACCCTACACATATATCGCACAATGGGCTTCATCTACAGTCAGCTCTTCAAGTCCCTGCCGTATCCCACCGGCTCATATGCGGGCAAGACCATCATCGTCACCGGCAGCAATGTGGGTCTTGGCAAGGAAGCCGTCCGGCACTACGTCCGTCTCGGCGCCAGCAAGTTGATCATCGCTGTCCGAAGTCTCGACAAGGGCCGGGCCGCCAAGCAGGACATCGAGTCCACCACGGGCTGCGGCAAGGACGTCATTGACGTCTGGCAGCTCGACATGTCCAGCTACGCCAACGTCCAAAAGTTTGCCGAGCGTGTCAAATCTGAGCTGGAGCGCGTTGACATCTTCATCGCCAACGCCGGTGTGGTACACAACAAATTCAAGGACATGGAAGGGGAGGAGGGCACCATCACCGTCAACGTCGTGTCTACATTCTTGCTCACTGCCCTTGTCTTGCCCAAGCTCAAGGAGACTGCTTCCAAGTTCAACACGAGACCTACCTTCACAATCACCGCCTCCGAGGTGCACGCCTGGACAAACTTTGAGGAGCGCACCGCCCCCGATGGAGAGATTTACAACACCATCAAGGAGAGGGCGAAGACCTCAGACGATGCCGTGAGCAAGCTCTACCCTCTCTCAAAGCTGCTCGAGGTTCTTGGCGTCAGGACTATCGCAGAGATGCATCCGGCTTCCGAGTACCCCGTCACCGTCAACTGCGTCAACCCGGGTCTCTGCCACTCGGAGCTGGGACGCGAGGCCGGTGGCTGGACCCTGTGGATTATGAAGCTTCTCCTGGCCCGCACGACCGAGTACGGCAGCAGGACGCTGGTTCATGCGGGCGCCTCGGGTGCCGATACCCACGGCAAGTACATGTCTGACTGCGGCATCGAGGAGCCGTCGCCGTTTGTGAGGAGTAAGGAGGGCAAGGAGGCGCAAGATCGTGCCTGGAATGAGTTGGTGCAGAAGCTGGAGGCCATCAAGCCTGGTGTGACGGGCAAGATCTGATTTTCAATGACAGTGTCCGGTATCAATGAGCTCATGTTTTTTTAGTAGTCTGTCTGTCTAGTCTCCGTAGGATTCCCCAATTTCATAATACTTCATACCGTTGACCACTTCATCTTCATGGTGAAACACTAGCATCATCATCAACACACCATACCTCATGTACCTGACAAAGAATATGAGGAGACTGTGAGTCCACTACGAACTGCCTCAATCCCATGATAAAGTTCGGTCCCCTGTAGAATCATTCATCTAACATTCACTTGATAAATGAGAAGCTCTCAATCGATCTTTGGATCTCGTTCCACGCCACGCTCATGAAGCTTCATCCCGTTGATCATGGGCATAGTAGCACAGACTCGCTCGATATGGAAGTCGATTGAGTCTCAGGAAGCGTTGTTGAGGAAATTCAAAGCGGACATGATCCAGGTCCTCCGATGTCTATCTTCAATTCGTGTACTGAGAAGGGGTTAAGTGGTGCTTAAGCCCGGCCAGCCAGGCAAGCCGCTAACGGATCTGATGACGCCGCTGGCAGCCCGGCTCAATTGAGCACCGGATCAATGGCGGACAAGTCGAAACTTCCGAAGCTTTGGACTCGGTAAGAGTGCCCTCTTGATGCGCTTCTACAGGCTTATCGCCGTTTATAATCAACTTTTCCACATTTTCAATCGATTATGAGATCGAACTAGGATGCTGTATTGCAGGATTGACTGTTTGCCGGATTAGGCAACCAATCGAGGGTGTCTGGAGATCGTGGTTGGTCGTTCTTAATTCCGTGCCTTGCTTACTCAACCACAGCATGTAAGGGAACAACACCGAGCAGAGAATACGAGTTGAGGTAATCCAGGGCTCCCCGGGGGTTGACCGTAGATTCAACCTGAAGACTTTTGAACAGTTACTTATAAGTAAGCCCTCTAGTTCATCCAACACAGTGAAACATTTAACCTTGGTCCACGACAGCATCCCATTCCCTCACATAACTCACCTCACAACCTCTTCAACTATCAATGACTTCTCAAACACCCCGGAAGCGCATCTTCCTAACCGGAGCCAGCGGCTACGTAGGCTCAGTTATAACAGAACTCGCAGTCAAAGATGGCTTCGAAATCCACGGCCTCTCCCGCAACGAAGCAAGCGACTCGAAGCTCCGCAACCTCGGCGCCATACCCACAAGAGGCGACCTCACCTCCCTAGACGTCTTCCGCCACGAAAGCAAAGCAGCAGATATCATAATCCACCTGGCCACGGCCTACGTATTTGGCGGCGAGCCCTACGAGACCTTCAGACCCATAGACACCGCAGCCGTCGACGCCATCGCCGATGCTCTAGCCGGCACCGACAAGCCCCTCGTCGTCACGTCCGGCACGCTCTGCGTCGCGGCGGATCCCACCGGCGCAGAGACTACCGAGGCATCTCCCGCGGACCCGGAACCCATCAACACTCGTATCCTGACCGAACTGCACTCGCTGGGTCTCGCAAAGAGAGGGATCCGAGTTATGTCAATCCGACTGGCGCCCTACGTCTACGGCCGAGGCGGCAGCGGCGTAGCGCAGTTCATGGGCATCGCAGCTCAGACTGGCGGGGTAACTATCGTCGATGGTGGGAAGAACCGGACTACAAATGCGCATGTTGACGATGCTGCGCGACTCTTTCTCCTAGCCGCGGAGAGGGGACGAACAGGGGAGGTTTACAACGCCAGCTCGTCGACCGATGTGACCTCCTTCCAGATCTCCGAGGCCATTTCTGCAGCTGTTAAGGTTCCGCTGAGGGACATTAACCTGGATGTTGCAAAGGAGCAGCTGGGTCAGACTATTTCCTTCTTCCTTTCCGCTGAAAACCGGGCGTCTGGTGCAAAGGCCAAGGAAGAGTTGGGCTGGGAACCCCGAGGTCTGGGCATCTTGGAGGACATCAGCAAGGGTTCGTATATGGAAGTTGCCAAGGCCCTCAAGAAGTAGCTTGGCGACGAGAAGAGAGGAGGCAGAAGAGGGAAAGCTGTCTTGTACCTCGTGAGGGGGATGCTGGAGTCAGAGTCTAGGGAGGGGGTGTGAGAAGCGGCACCGGTGAGGGGAACCATACCCAACTCCAAATGCCAAGGAAATATGCAAGCCACCCAAGACATATTGATTGCTAAAGATCTCTTGTTGAGTCTCTTGGGACCGACTAGCGACTTACTTGGCGTTTATTCAGGCTGAAAGAGCTTAAATCGACGTTGTTTCTGGCATTGCGCCTGACCACCATGTTCTCTCCAATCTTTCATCTTTGAAGGTAGCATGAACTCGCCCTCGAGTATCCAAGCTCCCGTTTGATTACCATGTCTTACTTACATGTTGAATACTTGAATTTTCTCATTAATGAGATGTAGATCATTTAAATCAGTTGTCCTTAACACAGTTACAGAATGGTATGCACACGTAATTGGGAATTGAGATGAGTGAAAAAGCAGCGAGTTTGTTTTCGCTTGCAATCTCATGACCACTCATGAAGATAGAACCAACGATGAGCGCATCCCATCGTCGAAAGCTGGTCACTGGAGTTAGATCATGTCACTGCTCATCAGGAGGATAGGCAATGCACGAATGTCTTATCACGGCGAGAGAAAGCAGAGCAGAAGATAATGCATAACATATTGGGTATATTGACGAAGCCAAACTCCATTATTGGCTATTATATAAACAGATTACACAAACACTTGCATCCAATACTTAGAAGACATAGCGGAAAGACAGGTTCTCCTTGTCAGTCTTGTCCTCAAAGGCGTGGGCAGTGTAGTCTGGCGAGGCCTCAGGGACACCGGCAGCAACCATCTCATCCCTCTTCCTGTTCTCACGGGAGAGGTAGATGCGGAGGCAGATGATGACGATGATGAGAAGCGCGTAGCAGCCCAAGTGGGTGGCGAAGGCGATGAAGTAGCGGGGACCGTCCCACTTGAGGAAGACCTGGGGTCCGATGGCGTTACCGGCGGCCCAGACGATGAAGTTGATGGCGACGGCGAACTGTTTCTTTGTCTGGCCGGCGACGTTCCGGGAGATGAGGGAGAGGGCGAGGGTCTGGGCTGACCAGAAGGAGAGGGTGATGTAGTAGCAGATGAGGAGGCCGACGCGCTGGGAGAAGGTGTTGTTGGGGACGGTCATGAGGAGGACGGTGCCGATGACGGAACTAGCGATGTTGTTAGTGACTTGTTGACGGTAACACTGTGAGAAGAGGGTTTGGCTTACGGGATACAGAAACCAAGCATGACGTAGAGGTTCTGGTTGAACTTCTTGACGAGCCAGACGGAGCCGAGAAGGACAAAGATGATGTAGAAACCGAGAACCATGGCCAGAAGCTGGACCTCAAGCGTGTTGAAACCGAAGCTCTTAATGATGATGTTGGCAAAGGCACCGAGACCAGAGGTGGGCAGGGTGGTGCACAGGGCGATGAGGGAGTAACCCCAGACCTGGGGATCCTTCAGGGCCTCAATGGCTTGTTCGCGCTTGAAGGTCTTGTTCTGGATACCAGTCTGGTTGTCACGGACACGCTCGACCATCTCGCGCTTGACTTCCTCAGAGTAGCACTTGGCGCGCATGGGGGAGTCAGGCATCCAGAGGAGGACGAAGACGCCAAAGATGACGGAGATGACGCCGTAGGCTAGGAACAGCCACTGCCAGGACTTGAGGGGACCGGTCTTGATGTGAGTGAAGCAGTAGGCGAGGAGACCACCGACAACCTGCTGAGCACCGTTCATCATGTACCAGTAGGTGACACGGGACGCCTGCTCCTCGCGGCGGTACCACATGGAGGAGAGGATGACAAAGGCGGGCTGGCAGGCGGACTCGAAGATACCGAGGAGGGTGCGGACGATGACGAGGCCCTTGAAGTCGGTGCAGGCGGCGTGGCAGGCGAGGACGGCGCCCCAGGCGATGATGGAGAAGCTGAGGTACTTTGCGATGGGGACGCGGGCGATGATGTAGTTCTGGGGGTACTCAACGAAGAGGATGGCAATGTAGATACAGGTTGTGAGCCAGGAGAACTCTTGGCCCTTGAGATGGGTGTCCTCCTGGAGGCCCATGATGGAGGCGAAGGACATTGTGCCCTTGTCGATGGCCTGGAGGAAGTAGGTGCCGATCATGATGACCAGGACGCGCCTGTCGATCATCTTGCGTAGCTGGTCACTGCGTTCTCTGGAGACGGTGATGGAGCCGTCGCCGACGTACTTTGACAACTCATTGTCGACGTTCTCAAGGCGCTGGTGGTCAGCCTTCTCGTTGGAGATTGTGCGCTCGACTTCGTGGAAGGACTTCTTGCCCGGGCCGCCTCCGCTCATGGGGCGGACGAGCTCCGGGTCGGCGACTTCGGTAGAGGCCATCTTGTCTATAGTAGATTGAGTAAGAGGGTTCCTGATGGTGTGGTGGTGAGTGCCCGAGGAGAGTGAGACGCAGTAAAGGTCTCAGATGTTGACTTGATGGGGCTATGGGGTCCGGAGTCTGTCTAACCTCTGCAATGGAAGGGAAGAAGCTGAGCAACCTACGGGAGAAGAAGAGCAAGAGGTGGGAGAACGAGGATGCTACCTCGTTCTATATAAGAGCAGATCCCAGGTGGAGTAATCCGAAGGGGTGGTAATGGGTGGGTGAGAGGGTGTTAGGGAAAAGCGAGCCGTGGACCGTGGTGGTGTCTTTGGATTCCTTCCTTTTCCCCTTCCGGACGTGGTATCAATCTGGGCTGCCAAACCCCAGAATCTCACCCTCATTCTCTCCTCACTATTACCCCAAGATTTCTTGTTGGGAAGCAGGCAGGACTTCTCCATTACCCCGGTCCACATCTCGGTTCCCCGCGAAAAGAGACGACGAGAGTAAGGCCGGAATCAGAACCCCCACGGGCCCTGGGCTCCTGGTCCTGGAGTGGATATGGAGACGGCTTGCCGGGTCCTGTGTGGTTCGGCGAGCCAGATCACAGCTTGGACCAGAACATGGACAGGCGAGGAACGGCCAGGAGTCCAGGAGGAGTGGGTGCAATTTGGGACATCATTCGACCGAAGTGGCGGGAAGGGCAAGGTTGCGACGACTGGGGGACCCACGGGGATAACAGCATGAACATGTGCGTGCTGGTCCTGATGGATGGACAAACGGGAGGAAACCGACAGTAAGATAGGTGGGAATAAGGGTGTGGGTGCATAGCTCCAACGGGGGAGTTCTCTGGTTGAACTATCATGGTTGGCACGGCTGGCAAGGTCGACCCGGCGCGCTGGCGTGCGCCTATACTGTGGTTCTCTGAACTGGATGAAGTGATTGGTGGTTTTCTGCAACGGGGGATAAGGCGCGAGACTAGTTCTAGTCAGTAGCACCTTGTTGGAATGTCTCACACGACTCTGTAGTTTCTCGAGACGGCGAAAGCTCAGCTAATCGGCGTTGGTAATCAAGCGTTTAAGCGGTTGGGAAACCACGATCCCATGGACGAGAAGAGACTCTGCTATTGTGTTCTGGAGCAGAGGTTATCGATGAATGAGAATGGATGGCGGCTGCGACGGCAGTGAGCGACTTGGCATGGCACTTGGGCGCTCTCCCGGCCGCCTCATTCCTTGGTTTCTTGGGCTTTTGTCGCCGCATTTCTGGGCAGACGAAATGGTTCAGCAGCGACTGGCGAAGAACAGGAGGCTCAGACCACGAGGTCTCTCGGCGGAGGGTGTGTGTGGTAGGTGAGCCAACGTGGTGGTGGGCGGAAATGTTAACGACACGAAAGCTGCTTCGGGCTCGCGGCGGGCATGCAGGGATGGGATTGGTTGATGTAGGGAAAACGGCCGTCTTGCCTCGAAGCAGCCATGTCGTCGGCGCGAACCCTACCGATTCGACCGGACCGGACTTGGCTCACCACCCAGGGAAAAGCTTGATGGAGTCTTTGGTCTTGACGCTCGGGCTCAGCTGGGTCTTTTCCGTCTCTTGAATGGCTTTGCAAATCATTGTTTGCGTCAAATCTGCGTTGGTGACTCTGGTTCAGCTCATGTGAAGACGTGGTAAATAATGGTATCGCGGTGAACTGCACAAAGCGTACCGCAACAGTATGGAGGCTTTGACATGGGGCTAGTTTCCACAGGAGGCTGGGAAAACGTGTGGCCGTGGGTGCGGGCACATACGCAGTATGTCGTGTAGCAGCGGTTGCATTGCGTCTAATGTCCTGCGGTGAGAGTGCTTGCATGCACAGGGACTACGAAAAGAAATTGAGTTCCGCAATCAGAATGTCATAGTAATCAGGAATGAGGGCAGCCGTCCCGTAGAAGCCGTTCCTATATGAGTAGACGCTTCCGTTCCTTCAGTTCCTCAAGACGACTCCAGAAAATCTCATCCACCGTCATCTCGTTCATCTCGCTCAATCTCACTCCGTATTGTGCCGTCACTGCGGTACCTGGGAGGGCATGGAATAACCTTATTCTACCGTCCAAGACTCCGCAAAATGAAGTTTAGGCCTGGTTGCCTAGGGCAGAAAAGGCCCCTCAAAGCTCCTCTCCTACTCCGTAGGCTCTGGACAGTTCCTGGTTCCCCGTCGCCCGCCCTCCCTCTCCAGCTTTTGCTCGCCCAGAATTTCCCCCAAAGATCCAGTGCGGAAGGGATTGCGGAGAGTGTGCGGAGATGACTTCCCCAAAACACAGACCCCGGACGGCTAAACACCAAAAAAGCCGGGGGGCGCCAGCCGCGGGTTCGGCGTTCAAGGCTCGAAACCTCGGAAGAGACGCAGGAATTTGGGGACAGGAACAGGGATGATCCAGATAGCAGTCTTGGACACACCAATGACTGTTTGCTCAAGCAATGACAGACCAGTCAGAGACCGAGCAGAGAAGAACTGGTAAGAGAAGGAGGCCCACGGGAGCCACAGGGGAGCCAGGAAAAAGAACGGGAATGAGCAGAAAAATCGGGGAAAGCTTTCTCCACCGGCGCGGGGTAAGAAGCCCGGGGCGCGGGGGAGGAGCGCCCGAGCAGCGAGCGGAGCACCCCGGTGACGTGCCATCTAAAGTGGGGGTACCGTCGGGCCTTTCCGACCAACCACCGACGCTGTTTCCGCACTCGTTGCCCAGGTCCAACCAGGAGCGTACCTCAGAGAACCGGTCTTTCCTCAGTTATTCGCATCTTGTATTACCTAAATCTACCTTACTGTGTACCTGACTACTTTGGTATGTGACCGTTTCCTCCTGCGATTTCGCAGTCGCAAACGCACATTCCCAGCCAGAACGCGCCCCTCTCATTATTCACCTTTGGTCGCGGCCATCCACAGTGCGGGGATGCCCAGCTCTCCTCCCATGATCCATCGTCCTTGAACCAAACCGCCTACTGGAAAGCGCGTCTTGGAAGGGGCATCTTGGGGCCTTGGTCCTCGGCCACCATCACTCCGAGCATACGTTCCCCTCCATCCTCCCGCCCACGACCCCTCGTTTTTCCCACCAAGCATATTTCGCCGGAGCCCTCCCCTTCATAAAGGATTCCGCACCCAAATTTCGTGCCTTTGAGCGTACCCTTTTCCCCCGAGGATCTGACAATCTGTCGATAAACTTCTGTCTCACGTGTCTTCGCGTCTTTTGGTGCCGTGCCGTGCTGGTACATACCTAGATACCCCCCTCTCATACTGTCGCAAAGTCACATGTTATCTGTGGCGCACCACGTTTGAAGAAAAAGGTTAGTTTCATTTCACATCACCTGTAGAGTGGTCATTTTGCGTCACCAATCGACAAGAATTCGATATCATGGGGAGCGAGATGGCCATGGCCTCTCACTACCAGCCAGAATTGGACCTCTCAAGGCTAATCACAAAAATAGACACCTGAAGGGTCTAGACAATATCAAAATCAACCCTCGCAAAATACACAAAGTAAAAACACCGCCAAAATGCCTGCGGGAATCACCGAACTCCATGGCGTCAAGCGGGCCGACATTCACAAGCAGGTGAAGCAGCTGATCCACGATATGGTCAACATCAAGGACACCACAGGCGAGTTCCTCATGACGCTCGAGAACGGCCGCGTCATCGACACAAAGGGCTGGGGCGACTGGGAATGGACCCACGGCATCGGTCTGTACGGCATCTGGAAGTACTACGAGCTCAACGGCGACCCGGCCGACCTCAAAATCATTGAGGACTGGTTCCGCGACCGCTTCGAGGAGGGCCACAAGGGCAAAAACATCAACACCATGGCAGTCTTCCTCACCCTTGCCTACGTCTACGAAAAGACCGGGAACGAGACCTACCTCCCCTGGCTCGACAGCTGGGCCGAGTGGGCCTACCACGACCTCCCCCGTACGAAGTACGGCGGCATGCAACACATCACCTACCTTGAGGTCAATGACCAGCAACTCTGGGACGACACCCTCATGATGACCGTCCTGCCCCTCGCCAAGATCGGCCTCGTCTTGAACCGCCCGCACTACGTCGAGGAGGCCAAGCGTCAGTTCCTCCTCCACCTGCAGTACCTCTTTGACGCGCCCACCGGCCTCTTCTTCCACGGCTGGACCTTCCACGAGGGCGGCCACAACTTTGCCCGCGCCCGCTGGGCCCGCGGCAACAGCTGGCTCACCATCGTCATCCCCGAGTTCATCGAGCTGCTCAACCTCACGGGCGACGACGCCCTTCGCTCCCACCTCATCAACACTCTCGAGGCACAGTGCGCCGCCCTTGTGCCGCTGCAGGTTGAGAACGGTCTGTGGAGGACGCTGCTCGATGTGCCCGAGTCCGAGGGCTCCTACGTCGAGGCCAGCGCCACAGCCGGTTTCGCTTACGGTATCCTCAAGGCGCAGCGCAAAAAGTACATTGGAAAGGAGTACGAGGCCGTCGCCGTTAAGGCGATTAATGCCATTTTGGAAAATATTAGCCCCGAGGGCGAGCTGCTCAACACATCGTTTGGCACGGGTATGGGTCATGATTTGCAGCATTACAAGGATATCCCGCGGACGAGCATGCCGTACGGCCAGGCCATGGCTATGATGGCGCTAGTTGAGTTCTTGCGCGTCTTCGTATGAAGTTCATGATATAATGCTAAGTAAAAAAACGAATAAAACTGAATGAATAAACTCTGGCCTCATAATGCTACTTTCCTACGAACTACAATGGCGTGTGACCCAAGCTTTCGAGAATCGAGGGTTCAGTATTACACTCTGGCCGATTTCGCAACGGGTTCACGCACATGCCTTGAACTCCCCTGTGCTGCGTGAGCCTCGTCCAAAAGACGCGTGCGGATCTGTCAGGGGACAGAGGTCCTCGGCTCAGTTTTGACCGAGGCATCAAGGTATCATTCGTCGCGAGACTTGGCGTTGGGGTTGATTCCCCATGCACTTGGGGGTGCCTTGTCAGAACCTTGCGGAGGACGGATACGGGATGCAGGGACATGAGCAGGAAGTGAAGGCAGCTTGATCATCGCTTTGAAGCTGAAGAGTGCCCCTTGATCTGTCTCTCGGCGTTCTATACTGCCATACGAGTATAAGAACTACTGGAAACAAATAGTCATCTTGGTTCAGCTGCAAGAGTATCGCTTGGTGACCGATGTTGCCGGGAGGTCCGGGCAGGGTATTCTCAGGATTCGGTAACACGATACTAACTCCCAAGGCATCGTGTGTCACAAGCTTGAATTTGCTCGGCAGGTCGGTGGAAATCGACTCCAAGCTGTTCCTCGTCGTGACAATTATGTGCGATCCGTGGGGGCCGAAGGTATACCGCGCTCCTGGGAATCCTGTGTACATACCACACCCCCGAGGCCCGGTTCAATGCGGCCCGAGACATGTACACCTTTGGTTGCAGCCGGGCGTGCGGTTTTCGTAGCATCCGAATCCGGGGCTACGGGGCACTCCGGGTGTCAACCTGCCATGTAACTCTCCGCAATGTGCCTGACCGGAGGATCTTCCAATGACATGAGAGAAAGGCAAGACAGACAGGGATTCAAGGTCATAGTTTCGTATAATCTCGGTATTGGGAGCTGTCTGTCGGTGACTGATTCCGAGATATTGAGTCACGTCCGTCTAACTATATCATGGCATGGTCATCCGCGGATCTGTTAGTGCTCAAAGGAGCGACATCTTGTCGGTTTTTGAGGCTATTCTGTTTGCTGTAGTTGCCTCTCTTCTCGTTGTCGAGCATCCATAAGACGATTAACAAGACATCTCGCAAGATTTGGTTTTAGTCTTGGTCAGAGTTCTAACACGAGATCAAAGAAAGATTTGCTGGCATCGCCCACAAGCATTCATCCTGCACACATGACTTGAGGCCCTTGACGTAGCTCTTGTTTATTTGTGGCATCAAGTTGAGGGTCGTGGACCATCTTTTTGTCAGTCTAGAAAGGCACACGACAGGACCCTGCGTGAGGCTAACTTCGGAGGTTTTCTGACCCAGGGTCAGATGTCTCGCGGCCACGTTAGATGCGGTCTCGGAAAGATTTGGCCTGGTGCCAACAAGTGTTGGTCACAAGGTAGTCTCTGGTAAACAACGCAGCTACTTTGAACAGTTGGGTACTGTGTTGGTAGGATTCCCGGTGGTGTGTTGATTCAAATGATTGGATGCTGTCAAAGAGACGAACGATTGGAGATGCCGAGGAATATACGTGTAGCGTCAAATACGACAGCAAATCGAAAAAGATCATAGACCAGATGCCAGGGTTCTAGTGGCCGTTTACACTAAGATTTGCCCATTTGGAGATGCTTGGGTGGGAAGATCTGGGACGATCCAGACCAGATGAGAGATGCGAGATCAGATGGCTTCGGCCAATGACAAGGTGGTGATTTGGAGGGTGGGCGTCATCATCTGCGCGTGATGCGAGAAGAAAAGCGCAGTGAGAGCCTCGTGCCTGCCACGATCTCCTGGTGCGTTGATTGGCTGTTAGTGCGAGTGGTGTCAGTCAGTGCGGAAAGCTTAACTTCCCGCCTGCCACCTCCATTTTGGGCTGATGCACGAGCCACAGGCAGCCGCGAGCACGGAGCACGGAGCACCCTAAGCCCCCAAGTGAAGCGACTACGTACCTACCTTGGGAAAAGCAGAGGGAAGGACCGAAGGAAGGAAAGCAAAGGGAAGGAAGAAAAAAAACCGAAAAGAAAAGTACTGAAAAATGAGGTCACCCATGTCTGTGCTTCCTTCCAATTGGACCTTCACTCGTCACCTCTCCCCCCGTCTTCGCTTGCTCTTCTGGGCAGCTCTTACGTCGCATCCAGGCCAAGAGCTACCCGCCGATATCCTTCCGCCGACCTGCAGCGCTGCAGCACCTTCCATGTTCTTCAACCACCCGCTTAATTGATTGCCTTACTTCATTGCGTCGCAAGACCATCCGCATCCGCGCCTTTCTTCCCCTCGCCCATCTTGCCAGCTTCGACTCCCCCTCCACCTCCTCACCTCCCAGCTCAGGACATTGAGAGACGCACATCTTCGCCCTCCCCAGTGTGCCCACCTCGTCAATTGTCCTGTTCTACTCTCAAACCACGTCGCCTCCTCGCATCTATACACAGCTGGAGACCATGCGCTGGATGCTGCGATTCTGCATTCCATCTCCGTGAGACCCTGGCAGCGGGGTAGGCAGCCTGGGCCCAGCAGCTACACCCGAACAAGCAGCTCACCACCGAACCCATCTCCGACCACCGTAAACCGACGACCCCCGTAAACCGTGACCGATTTCGACGACCATCTCGACGACGTCACCGCTAGTCCTGCAAGAACCTGTGTAGCTGCATCTGTTCGCCCTCTGGTATCAGGCTCTGCGCCGCCTCAATTGCCGCAGCCTCCAACATGCCTCGCAATACCAACAATAACAACATGGCTCGCGCAGCTGCTGTGTCCCGGACAGCCTCGTCCGGCTCCTTCCATGCAGGCGCTCCCATTCCGACCCTAGGAAACATCGAGTCCAGCCGGCGGACCACGATGCGACGCCAGTCTACTCACCGATATCACACCTTTCCGACACCACCTCCCAAAACACCCCGCGAGCAATCCTCGGCAGAGCTTTTCCCACATTCCGATGAAGATTCCGATGCCTCAGACGACGATCACCGGCAGACTCCTCTGCCCGTCAAGCAGCTTGCTTTGCTTGCCTTCCTCTCCTTGAGCGAGCAGACTGCGTTGAACTCCATCGGCCCTTACCTGCCTCAGATGGTTGAGTCCTTCGCCGATATACCAGACTCTCAGACAGGCCTGTACGTTGGAATTCTTGCCTCAGCATTCGCCCTCGCTCAATTATCAACGAACCTATTATGGGGCTACCTATCAGACGTCGTGGGTAGAAAACCGACCATGGTCCTTGGAACCTTCATGTTGGCATGCTGTTTTGTGGGCTTCGGCTTCTGCAGAACCTACTGGCAGATCGTAGTCGTTCATGTGGCCATGGGTATGCTCAATGGCAATGCTGCCGTAGTTCCCACCGTTCTAGGCGAAGTGACGGACCGCTCCAATCAAAGTCGGGCCTTTACATGGCTTCCCGTCATCTATTCCCTAGGCGGTATTACCGGTCCAGCCCTGGGTGGGTTGCTGGTTGGTACCATGGGAAAACGGTATCCGTATTTGGCGCCCAACTTGCTGAGCGCAGGACTTTTGTTCATCAGCGTGATTGTCGTCGCAATCTGGTTCGAAGAGACTCTGGAAACCTTAGAGCCAGACCACGCAGCATGGATTCCTGCCTGGGTGCGCAAAGCTTGGTCCTGGGTTTCGCGAGAAGCGCAACCCCGCAGAGGCTCATGGGCCACGCGCTGGCCTCGCCGTGGATCACAAGCCGTGGTCAGCACTGACGACGACGAAGAAGAGGAAGATGACGAAGATGAGGCAGGAGAGGATCAAGGGTTGCTTCAGCATGCATCTGAGAACGATGCCCATGCCGATGATGACGCGAAGCTCCCGGGCGACCTGGCGACGTGGCGTCAACTTTTGAATCGCAATACGGTTCTCGTACTGTTAACCTACCTAGTATTCCAGCTGTCCAACATCTCCTACAACAGCTTGTACCCGATTTTTGCCGACGCCAACCCTCCAACAGGACGCGGTCTTCCGCCAAGCAAAATCGGTATCAGTCTGAGTCTGGCCGGAGTGGCCACTATTGTGTTCCAAGCTTTCCTTTTCCAGCACCTGAAGACGAGGCTGGGAAATCTGGGCACCTACCGCATTGCCTTGCTGGGACTGGCCGTTAGCATGGCCCTGATGCCTTGGATTCCGTACTTGGATGACGAGCCGCTGTTCGGTATCGGCAGCGGTCCTGCCTGGCTGTACACCGAACTGGGCGTTATCCTCATTATTAAGAACATCTGCGCCGTGGGCGGCCTTTCTAGCGTTATGCTCTTGGTGAGTTATCTTCACACGACTGAGCTCTTGACTTCTTGCTAATGATGGCTATAGATCACAAACTGTGCACCTAACCATGCCACTTTGGGAACCTTGAATGGCATCGCTCAGACGTTGTCCGCCGCGGGCCGCAGCTTTGGGCCATTCGTCTCTGGCTCCCTTTTCACGCTCTCCACGCGCGTCCATCCCAAGGGTGAGGCCCTGGTCTGGGGCATATTCGGTGGCATTGCCCTCTTGGGATGGATTGGGTCCCTCGCTATCCGTAATCGCGGTCTCGAGAGTGACGACTGGGTTGGCGAGGAAGATGGCACTGACGGCGAAACTGAGCCATGAGCCATTGTACTGACCCCTGCCCCAAGAGCAGTGCACAAGCAATCTCACCGGATTTTGTGTTTTTAATACGGTCGGAAAATGTTTCGGATAATCATAGCATTGGGAAAAGGTCGGAAATGACTGGTCAAAGCGGATATATTTGCATCAATAGAGAGGAGTGGAACCAGCTCACCCTCTGGATGAAGATGAGGCAGACAGCTACACGGTATAGATTTAAGAGGCCAATACCGGGCCCAGACTTGTAAATCTCAAGATTTGATTTGGTCTTTGGACGCTTGGCCCTGCAGCGAGACATATGATACTTTGGTGACCTACATCAGTACGTGGTCCTTACGAGCATTGCCGTGTTCGAAAGGGCTGCATGTTCACGCCTTCGTCGTGGTGACTGATGATTGTGATAGATCCCTTGCAGTGAGTATACCCAGCAACTCTTAAGCGTCGTGGATGATACTCTGTCGGCGGACCGGCGTAATTTGAGAACCAGCAAGCTCTCACCACCGCATTCGGCGTGTCCTGCTCCACTCCGCTCCGCACACCCGATTCGGGCGCCATGCATGCACTTGCAACCAGGACCTTTGACGGTGGCTCCTATATCTTGATTGCTAATCATTTTGATGATTCTAGAATGTTCTATATCTCGGGCATTTAGCGATCTAGGTATGATCTTCCCTGTCAAATTGGTTCATGGCATGTTAGGCTTGGGTGATACCCGGTCGCGATGCTTCGTGTCCTAGGAGAGATCGTCACTTCTTGTAGCGTGTACTGTTAGCTGTGAGTATAGCGATAGCTTTTCAAACCAACCCAATCGAGGTTCCTCACGCAAAATGTCAGGGAAGTTGCGCTGAAATGAATGCTTCTCCTCTCTTGATGCTTCTAAATAAGGGTAGATGAGATATCTCCGTCGGACTTTCCAGAAGCCCTCTATGATTGGGGCCTTGTGGCTTGTACACCTCTTCTAGGAGGAACAAGTACAACAAGGCGTCCAAAAAAAATGCTATAAAACCCGACCATTGTCGTGAGACTGAGTGGTGTATGATGATGCTTCTTCCCAATGCCCAAAATCTCCATGCAAATGCCATGCCTCGAAAACACAGAAATGCCTTATCCTCGCTCGCTCATACTCAAAGACCACACAATAGGAAACCTGCCCTGTTAGATGCGTGCCGTAAATCTTTCCCTTCAACAGTCCTCTACATCCGTCTTTTGAAGCTCCACGCTCATGTAGACCGGCTCATCATAACCATGAGTCCTCTAAAGCCAGACTAAAACCAAGTCGGGGGCACAGACCAGTGCCGCAACATCGTGTCGACAGCCTTGTTCCATTCATACTCGAAGCAGGCGCCGAGCTGGGCCGCCTCGTCGGTGGAGGGTTCGCGGCCTCCCCACATCTCGGGCTTCGTGGCCTCCAGGGCCGCGTATCCGGACACGAGGTCACTACAAATCGCAAAGGAAACAAGCGTCAGCCTTCTTATTTCATGGCATGGCTATTGATGAATGGGGAGGGCAGCATGAAGCTACATACTCTTCCTGAATCTTGACGAGACACAACCAGGCCAGGTTCCAGCTCTTGTTCGAATTGGGGTCGTTGCGCACCCGGACGTGGGCGTCGTAGAGGAGGTCGCTGCAGAGGGGGTAGCTCCGCGTCAGGCCACGGAGCTCTGTGAGAAACTGGTTGCTGTTGACATAGTAGTCCCAGGCGGCGGTCATGGGACCTTGGAAGGCTAGGGCGTCTTCCTCGTTCTCGCAGGTAGCCGCCACGCGCTCGATGCGGCAGAGCTCTGTGAGGGTGTTGACTCTATGTGTCTCCAGGGACTCGATGAGTTGTTGGATCGAGCGCTATAAGGAATCAAGGGTCAGTACGGTACTCGATGGAGGAGGAAGGAAGGATGAGGTATAACAGTCTCATCTTGGACTTGAGAATGGAGATATGCGAGGAGGAAGCTAGGTATAGTGATGTATGCTTGTGGAGAAGGGGGAGGTAGTACAAAGAGGAGGCCATGACTAACTTGAACCGCCCTTGGTTTCTTGCTACTCTTGGAGCTACGGTGGTGGCTTGATGACCCTCCCGAACGACCGGAACGCGACGAAGACATTTTTGATGACTGTCTGCGGGAAGGATGAGACTCCTGACTGACTGATGGCGGCGCAAAGGCGACAAGGATATCCTCGACTGTGTACTGGGTATCCGAGTCTATTTGATCGTCAAGCTGGGTGATGTTCGTGTGGCTATGGTCAAAAGAAGGTGGCAGGTTCGGATCGGGGGAAGCTAGTGATATATCCTGTTCCTCGACTTCGAGCTTGATGCTCATCACGACAGACATCCACTTCGGGGTAGAATCTCCGAACCGAGTAGATGGGTCGATCGAGGTAATCAGACACCCTCCGACTGGATGTCCCTGGCTGTTGGTAATGACGTCGGCGGAGCTCAGTGACCCAAGATAGCCGTTGAATACTCGACAGAGATCCGCAGCAGTCGAACCGGAGACGGCGTATCACGAGATGAGTGATGATGTGAGTTTGCGGTGCCTCAGACGGTCGGCAAAGGCCGTCAGAAAAGCTTGGTATGGAGTAACACCGAAGAAAAGTCGCTTCTGTGTCGGGTATCTGAAACGATAGAATGTTTTTGTATGGTCAAGATTCGTTATTCCAGAGCCAGAAGAAGATTGCGGCCAAATGTGGCAGCATATGATGGTGCATCATATTGATATGGGCTTGCCCAGCCACAACGCATGTCAGTGCCGGACACCGCACCGGCAACGGTAGTCAATCGTTTGAACTCTAAACGATGAGGAAGCATCCGCATGGTGGTAGACGTAGTCCGGAGCTGAGGCTGAGGCTGATGAAAGGACGTCAGGGGTGACGGTAGTCATATCAAAGGGGCGTCCACCAAGACGACAGACTGAAGAATGGGTGTGCCATGATCAGGGACAGCAGAACGGGTGATCACTGTGCTCCTGACCAGAATCCTCAAACGTTCCCAGCAGACCGGCTATGCTGCAGGTCTGGTTGAAGAACATGCTCGCGACTTCGATCACTCTTTCCCCCAAGACTTGGATGCTTATGAGGGGACGATATGCAGTGTGATGGGCGAGAAAACGAGGTTGAGGTCAGTGATTGGCCACATCGCATACAGGTGCCGATGAGTAAAACTGCTGACAGAGCAGACGTATTTTTGTCTCGAGCTCCAGAAGAGCTCACCACCCTAACGGATGACGATGGGAATTGCGATAGACCGACCCCAGAAGCCGGGACAGCCTAGACATGCATGCTTCTGGGGTGGTACTGGCTGCGCGAATGTCGTAGCTGCAGCCCTACCAGGCATAGTGTCAATGATGAGAGCCATCTCATAGGGTGTTTGGGCAGCCGGTCAACGGGAAACGAGAGTGGCAGGGTCCCAAGAAGACAACGTCAGATTTTAGTGGAGGACAGATCGTATGGCAGGGACTAATGGTTGCCCACCCCACGCCAGTCCCGGCCCGTGATTGTTCGGGCGTCCCCGGTCTATCGTCAGGTGAAAATTGTGTATAGCGGACATTTTGACTATGGCGAAGGATGGCGAGACCCGGAACAGGGCATTGCTGCTGACCAGGATGGCAGGCTCTTTTTGGCAATCCGACGGAGGTCTAATAGCTTCTTTGGTGTTTGGTGGAGGCTTGACGATTGGCGGCAATGAACCAATAAGCCACAAAAGGACCGTTTGAAACAGGCGTGCAGATACGACTATGAATGATAAAGCGACAAGCGGGCCTGGTGTTCTGCCGTGGTGCCAACGGAATACAGATTAGGGGGGCCGGAATAGCATCGAGGCCGGGCACGGAGCGGACGTAGGCAAGGAACTTTAGCGGCACGTAGGCGCGAGTCTGCATAATAAATCTGCAAGAGTGTCAAAAAGGCTCGAGGTAGGTATCCGCAAGCGCGAACCAAGCTCTGTCTCAACCTTGCATAGCTCGCGTGATGTTTGAGCATCCCAGACATCAACCACGTTGGAGTAAGTCGTACTCCGGAGATGCGGGGATGCTTCCATAGGGCTGAATGTCAACCAGGTCGCCTTATCCACGACTTAGTTGGTCTGCATTTCAGCTGCCCCGCCGCTCGACCTGTTTTTGTCCATGTGTCGGAGGGGACTCTGAGCTCCGATCTGGACCCATTGTGAGGGTTGAATCCCCGTTGTGAAGGATTCGGTCATTAGGATAGAGGTTGTCGTCTGCTTCAGGTTGGGCATCCTGCACGCTTGTTTGGCGTTCCTAGAGGCTGGGAACAGTACCAGGGTGATTCTGGTTCTAGACTTGGAGGCATGGCTAAGCCCGTGCCTCGGCTCTCAAACTTCCCGCTTGCTAGGGTCTTGAGCCAATGATAATGGGCCGAGCGGTTTCTTCTGGAAGTCGACGACGGGCTGCTGAAGTTGAGGCTGGGAGTAGCTGTAAGATCCGGCCCTACCTGGGCAGATCGATCGACATACTGTAGCCATAAGGAGATCTGTCTGGTCGATCCCGTATCAGAGGATGCTCCAAAGGAAGAAATTTGCCCAATCCGACGCAGGATTCCAAGCGCCGAGCGAAAAGCATACAAAGATGTCAGAATAGCCTTGAAAATCCCGTGTTGGGTGTTTAGCGAGGCAGACTCGAGGATTCTGTATGCCCCGGAGGAGCACTTGACGATGAGCCAAGCGCCGGAAGAGCGCAGATACCGGAAGCGCCGTCTATGGCCCAGGAAGAAAGGATTATAAGCGCGATGCGAAGCATTTGGTTTGCTGTGTTACGGCTTGAAAGGTCGGACAAGGCCGGGAGACTCGCGGTAGACCGGAAACAAGCGCGGCGACTAACACAGGTTGGGATGAGAAGACGGGATGAAGCATGGGAGTTGGGAAGAAGAGAACAAGCAGACGACCAGACAGGGAAACGTCACACGCGCACACAGCGATCTGACAACAGAATGTTCTCGACTGCGCCACAGCCTAATGCGAGTGGCCCAGTTTATAGGCTCATGTGGATAATATTGACCAATGGACATCCAAAGAAAGAAGGAAGCAAGGGCCGTGATTCGCTGCGGATGTGGCTTGCCCCGTCGCTCCTCCCTCAGCCATCCGGCTCCTGACAATCCGACGAAACGGCAGAAGGACATGAGGAGGAAGCTTCGTAGCTCTCCTTCTATCTTTCCTAATGGGGAATCATTTCTCATGGAGGGAGCCAACCTACCTTAGGCTAACTTTTAGGCATGTGCCTCGAGTTATTGCTCCTTCTTGGGCAGCTTCCAGAGTTTCCAGGGTGTCTTGAATGCAAGATTGGAAGCGGTGCCTTGCATCCGCTCCTACATCCCTCCACTTGACAGACACTCGCCATCGTGATCTCCGCCGGAGCCGGAGCGGAGGCGAAAGTCCTGTCTGCTGGTGCGCTCAAGTAAGGTACCTTGGATGGCATTCCAAATCTCCCCTCCATCTCCATCTCTACCTTCACATCATCTCAATCTCAACACCCCCACGCCGGACGTCACCGAGCACACACACTGCCATCAAACTTCAGACTCTGTTGTGCCCATAGTGGATTCCACGACCAAGAAAACTTGCTGCTATGGCGAAATGGTTTTGGTTCGGGCGCATCATCGCAGCCACTGATTCACGCCGAGACGCCACATCCTTACGGCAACCGATGATATGTCAGCCGTCAACATGCTGCACTCTGCTCTGTAAGCCAGAAAGAAATTCTAAAATCGTTCAAGTTGACCACACGTGATACAAGATAGACAATAATTGACGGCGTTTAGAGCAAGCCTGCAGCCCCCACTCCCCTCGCAGATACCTCACCGATCTCGTTGGTGAGATTTGTGAGGTTGGGCTTACCCATCGCAGAGCCGATCACGTGTTTCTCACTACCCACTTCCAATCGATTCTCTGCTGCTGACTGCATCGGGTAACAGCAATCCACTGTGTTGCACACCTTTTGTCGAAAAGAGAATGATCAAGGTCCCTGGGCTCAGCGGCCTCCGCTTATCTCACGGAGTAGAGCTCTTTTCCACGGCCATGTTGCCGGTAAACCTGCTGACCACGACCCGTGAACTCCGCGAGTTTCGATAAACCTTCACTGACATCATAGCGACTGAACAACATAACATCGAGTACGTACATTACTGCATCGTATTGACAAACGTCTGCCTGGATTACGTCTATCCAAATACATACCGCTGTTGCCTGGATGACGAGACCTCAATGATCATCAGATCAAACGTCATGCGGCATTCGGCATATGATTGCTTGGAAGCTTGGTACCTCAAGAAACTTCTTCTTCTAATACCTAGTCAAATACCTCTACCTTGGAATACAGTCTCAAGATCGGTCCGATTCCAGCACCATCGCCTACCTACTCTTTCGCCACCACGCAACTCCATCCCTATCTCGGGATACGCCCATCAACTCTGCTTTACCGTCAACAATGATTCTCATCAGGTTGAAGTAATCTGACGGGTTACTCAAGCGCAGCAAGGCGAGCAGAGGGTGAAATCATGCCGTCGCCAATGGAGCCAGCCGATCGAACAAATCGCTTGAACATTGTTACTGACAAGCAGACGAGGTCGAAGCTAACATTTCATCTCACGAGACGCCGTCTTACTGATAAATGTTACACTTGGTATCAAAGATCTCTGGGGAAGTGCCTTCAGGCCACCACCTCCTGGGCTTGCAATTCCACGTCATCTCATAGCAACTTGATATCCCGCCACGGCAGCCCAGGTACACATTTCAGTTGATCACGATATCATCTAACATCATCATCAGCATGCCTCAGTCGAACTCACCAAAAGTCTATGAGCCAGTCAAGAAAGAAGGCTACACTTACTCATATTGATGAAAGACTCCTCATACCCCCCATCAAACATCTCACACCCACACTCGCACCAAACACCCTCCCCATCAACCTTACACCCCCTACACGTATCCGTAAACTTCCCTTCCAGCCCATCATCAGCCCTAGGTTTCAAACCACCCAGGACATTGACAATACAATCGTTCAGATTGAGCACAGTAAAGGTATTTTTGTTGCAGTACGTCATCATCGTGCCGTCGCCGAGGAGCTTGAACTGCGGACCCTGTTTATCTAGGTAGCCACAGCCGTCGTTGAGGAAGCCCGGGAGTGGTATGGCAAGGTGAGTTGGCATGAGTATGCCTATTTGAAGGGGGGGGGGGGTGCCGACCATGTTGATGTATTCTTGGGACGTTGGTCATGGCGTCTCTTGAGATTCCTCGTCCTGTCCGGAGTACTTCGGAATGACGCTGAAGAGAGAAGAGAGCGAAGAGGCGATGGATGAAATCTCAGGTTCAAGTCCTATTCTTTTCTGGAGAGAGTGTGAATCCACCTATATAAGTGAATCGGAATGAAGTCTCCTTGGCCAGTCGAGGGGAAAAAAAAACCAGTCCAGAAACGACCAATTTGGAGCCTCGAGTACCACAAAACCGTGTGTTACTATCCAGCATCAATCCTTTAAGACTAATCGACTTGAAAGAAGGTCTTTATGAGGGTACTACCAACATGAGGATGGTCAAAGTAGGACGGGATTGGCATGCATTGTAGCACAGCCTTTGGACCCAAAGGCGGACATCTCGTCTTGGCCATTGTATCAGAAGTATCTAAGGGCGGCCGTGCCATGTTCGATTGGAATCAAATGCATCTGATCTCCTAGCAGTCTGGTCTCAGCATAGACTGATGCTCTCAGGATTTTTGGCAGACCCAAGTATGGGGAGAACCTATTCAACTCAGCCAGGGCTTAATTCAAACGTCATGGCAATCGAGTAGCTCTATTCACATTCTACATCCCTAGATCAGCCACCTTTACTTTACGAGACCCTATGTAGTCTCATCATGTTAAAAAAAGTACTGAATCAGAAACAAAACTCCCATATGTATTTTCCCACAATCCTCGATTCATAAGCATACATGGCTTCAAACCAGTGGAGGCCAAGAAATATACAACAACTACCAACTGCCCATTTGCGTCAGATGCCTTGAGCTCTCGCCAACGAGGAACGAATACTCCCCAAACGTAATCATCGCCCAGTTCTGTTGCCGCACGTCCCAGTAGCTGAGGTCGCGCCGTGTCACGTTGAACGTGACAGTCTTCTTCTCACCCTTCTCCAAGTTGAACTTGTCAAAGCCACGAAGGACCTTGACGGGGAAGTCCACGCCGTGCACGTTCTTCGGGTACGACATGTACAGCTGGGGGACGACCTTGCCGGCTACAGCGCCGGTGTTGGTGACGTCCGCCTGGACGGTGACATATGTCTCCCACAGATCGGGGTTACCGCCCTCTTCACCGCCAGCTTGGGATGGAGGCTGCTTCACCTCGTATCCGTCTGGGTAAGGGTACGGGTCCGAAGAGATATCGTCCACGGTATCCAAATATGGGTATACATATTTCTCGAGCTTGCGGAAGCCTTCCGGGAACAAAGCCACCTTCTTGTCAGGGATCTTGTCGCTGAACTTTGGTGGCTCCGCACCGGGCGCTGGGCGAGGTGGAGGAAGTGCGCTCTTTTCCTTGACGCCCTTAACGGTGACATTGGAAAACTCGAAGCTCGTGTATGACAGGCCGTAACCAAATTCAAAACGAGGTTCAATATTATTCTTGTCAAAGTGTCGGTAGTCGATGTAGAGTCCTTCAGAGAAGTCTTGCTGGGGCACCACGCCGTTGGGCAGGTACAAGATCTGTCCGCCAGGTCCAAAGTCCTTCAGAGACTTGGGGATTGTGTACGGCAGCTTACCACTGGGGTTGACATCGCCAAAGATCACGTCCGCTAGCGCATTTCCACTCTCTTCTCCCGGAAGGTTGGCGTAGAGGACGGCCTTGACACCGGGATGGTCGATCCAACGTTCCATTTCGACGGGTCCTACTGAATGAATGACAACGATGGTATCGCCACCGGCTGAATTGCCTTCACCCTTGCCGCAATTGTCGGCAACCAGGAGGATCAGATCGTCTCCTCCTTTTTGCAACTTGAGATCGTTTCGATCACCGCCAATGCCTCCCCATGCCAGGAAGCCTTCTCCCGAGTCCGCATTGGCAAATACGATACAGACATCCTGGTTGTGCAGGACAGAGGGGTCCTTTTGAAACGGGGGCGAGTTTGTGAGATACTCGGACAGTTCAACCTTCTCAGACTTGAACCCCTTCTTCAAGGCTTCGACAGGAGTGACGAGGTACGGAAATTCCACAGCACCACTGCCCCAGCCCGAGCCCAGTGTCCCTTGGTTGCAGCCGCGATCAGCGCAGTAATTCGGGCCGTTGCCTGGACCAGCGTCCTCGCCATAGATGCCAATCTTCAATTTGCCCTCGTGGCGCTTGCGCTTCGCGTCGATGAAGCCGTCTCTGCTGATTGGCAAGACGTCCTTATTCTTGAGCAGCACTGTGCCCTCGGCAGCAACACGGCGGGCAATATCGGAGTGATTGCCTTGCACATGAACATACTTGTTGACCTCGACCTCTGGTTGGGGTGTCTTGCTACCGGGAGCGAGAGTACCCATCTTGTCGTTGGTCCAAGACGAAAAGTTGGGAAGCTCATCTGGGTAAAGCTTCTTGTCGTCCTGTCCTAGCTTATACCAGGAAGCAACGATACGAACGGCCATATCATCCAATCGTTCGACGGGAACGGATCCGTTGAGGACAGCTCGAGTAAGCTCGGGGCCCCAGAGAGACTTTCCATTCTGCCAGAATAGACCATCGCCAGGCATTGTCATATCCAAACCTGCGAGAGCGCTGCCGACACCTGAACGTTGTGCAAGCCAGTCGCTCATTACGAAGCCTTGGAAGCCCATCTCGTCCTTCAGAATACCGTTGAGAAGCTTGGAGTTGTCGCAAGCGTACGAGTTGTTGACCTGGTTGTAAGAGCACATGACACTGGCAACACCAGCCTTGACGGCATCGAGGAATGGCCACGCGTACAGCTCGTGCATGGCCCGGTCGTCGATGTTGCTAGAGATGGCGTTGGGCAATCCCCACTCCCAGCTTTGTCGAAAATGTTCCTGCTCGTTGGCAACAAAATGCTTGATAGTAGCCATGACACCCTCCTCCTGAATGCCCTTGATCGTCTCAGCGGCAGCGATACCTGATAGGTAGGGGTCGGCGCCGAAGCCCTCCCAGTTGCGGCCGCCGGCAGGCAGTCGACCAAGGGGGCCAACGCAGGGTCCGAGGAGCACGTTGATTCCCTTGCCTCGGGCTTCTTGTCCATGCGCCTTGCCTCGCTGATACATCAACTCTTTGTTCCAGGTAGCGCCAACAGTGACGCCGGCAGGGAATGCGGTCGCATTGTCGGCAAACCGGATGCCAAGGGGACCATCTTGTAACTGGAGCTGCGGGAAGCCAACGTGGACTGCAGGGCCGGTCGTGCCGACCGCGAGACCCATCATCCAACCAGTTCCTGTTGTAATGTTAACCTTCTCAGGTAACGTCATTTTGGCGACCATCTCTCCGGCCTTCTTGTAGCTCTCTGCCCAATTCTTGGATATGCCACCCTTTGGAGTCGGGTACCATGGTGGTGATAGACCGGTCGGGGGCGCACCCTTAAACTTCTTGTACATGACGGCTCCTCCGGCGCTGATGAAAACCCACATGATGAAGACGACGGCGGTGATGAAGAGGCACAGCTTCGAGCGACCCTGGAATAGTCTTCTGAATGCTGCAATGCAGCCCCGCGGCCTAGCGGAAAGGAAGGCGGGCTTGGGGAATCTTGACTCCTGCTTCTGTTCATTTCGCTCGAGGTAGTCAGTGGCGTCGATGTCGGAACCGTCGTCGGATTCTCCATCGTAGGAACGGCGGGACTTGTCGCCCAAGAGTCCTTCTTTACTGGGGTCCATGGCGGATAGATTGGATGAGTGTAGTTTTGTCCGCGGCTGTGACTTCGGGTTTTCCCAGGAGAAGTCGAATGCTTCTGTTTTTTGTTCAATGATGAACAGTCGAGGCTGGATCTGCGTCTGACGAGCGCACCAGTCCTGTTCAGAGACGGATTGTGGCGGCACGGTTCGACTGGCGTACCATTGCTCGACACGTCCTTGGGTATAGTATTGTAACGAAGCAGTCTCGGTACGTGTAGGAGACAATTGGGGGTATCTGCGAGACGGTGCTAGCAACTCGAATTTGGTCAGTCGAGATGGAGTCTGGTAGTACGTGAAGAGCGTAAGCGACCTCGGAAGTTGACGTGATGTCAGTGTCGGGTCAGGACAATCGGACAAAGACTTGTGAGGACGAGATGAGAAGGGTTGGAACTTGGGAAGAGTGACAAAACAATTGAAGGGACCGGGACGAGGGACGGGGTGTCAGGTCTGTTCCCCTAGGTTTCGACTCGCAGCAGTGCGGCTTGTTCTTTTGGCGTGCTGGCAGCGTGTTGGCGTGGTTAAGCTTTCGTAAACCACGCTGCTGAGTGCAGAGGGATCAGGCCGTGCCCGCCTGGATTTGGGAGCTTCCGGTTGAAACAGTGGGGGAATCTGGGTCTAGGTACGTACTGGATGCCCCACGCTTGGACCGCTGCCCCTGTCTTAGTGACGTCCCTTGGGCCTTTCAGTCCTCAATTGCAGCGCCATTAGGCCAGTGGAGCCGCACTCTCACTGGGCTGCCCCGCTGATTGGCGCGGGGCCTCGGCAGCACGGGCCTACGATACCTAGCGTCTGCCCCTGGAAGAGCCAGAACCCGGCAGAAGCATGCCAAATCCCCCCCAAATTCCCATCTATTTCCAGGTACTCCGTACTTTTAGGTTGTTTGCAACTTCCATTTGCTGAGGTTCATGAACGATGTGCCTCATCTTAGGTAAGCATATCCGTATCTGAGGAAAGGAACCGGAGATCTCCCGCTTGGATGCGATGGATTCCATCCCGTCTTACACCTCATCTCAGTCTCAAGATGCGATACCGAATGACCCACCGACGACGGTAGAGACTCTGACGAAAGCTGGCAGACCATATCAGGTGCCCGTAGCCACCTTTTCATTTTCTGATCAACCCGGCGTCACATCTCCCTCTTAACATGAAGCGGGGAGCCATATGTCGTCAGCCTTTTCTCCAGCAGAAATACCGTCCATCAGCTGAGACTGTGTGCAAAAAGAAAACTACTTCATCCCCAATTTCGCACAGATTTACCTGCCTCCTCGACCTCGGCCCCTCCAGCTTCGGGAAAGAGAAACACAATGTCTCAGCTAGATTTGGACCACCACCGATGCACTCAGAAACATTCGAAGGCCGGCACCCGGAATATGCGGGACCGATTTGAGAAGCAAAATTAATCTATGGCGGGGAGGCAATTTAGTGATCCAAACGTCACAGGTGGAAACGTTCCAGACTCTCGAAAATCCGACTAAGATGCTGCTCACTTCATCTGATGAGTGTTCTGGTACATTTATGCTTTTATGCTGATGCCACGCATCAGACTGGCCAGTTTGCTGATCATCATAGGACATATCTTTACGAAACACCATGAGACCATAAGTACCAGATGTCGCAAGAACATCAAGCGCCGATGCTGAAGCTCTCTCGATGCGCCGTTGGACTGTGTTTTCACCAAGCTATTCCAGCATCTTTATAGGGCTTGCGCCATAGAGAAAGTCAATCTTGCAAGTTGGATGATGGGTCAGGATCAGCATGGCGACCTCAGAGAGTATCGCATAGTTCGGTCACCCCATATGTGACGTCGAACTCGTCCTGGCCTTTTCTTGCGATACGGATGGGAATAGTTCTGAAAGCGATGGGACTAAACGAAGATCAGGAGCAGCCAACACTGCAGCCTCAGCTCACAAACGGCTACAGCCGAGACTTTGCTGGTCATGGCTGCCCCATGTGAAGAGGTTTCTTCATGTACGCCACACATAATTCTCCACACAGCTTATCTTCAAGAAGGCATCAATCTCTGCATGGAGTATCTGCAAGGCAAAGCATGACGGTGTTGCGGGCTGGAAGAGGCATTTCTCAGATAAGGCAAAGCGGGCTAGACTCTTACATAAATGGGAGAATGAGAAGCAACGCTGCCTTTGGTTCTCCTCAAACGCTCGCTGACCAGAGGCTCTTGCGCACGAAACAGGGTCGCACTCGCAAGACAGAATTTGTTGGATTCTTGAAACGAGATGGAAGGACAGTGACCTCTTAGCCGAGTCTTTGGCCGACGCTGAGGCGGGACGCAACCGCGGGGTGGACCTCGCTTCTTCAACGGGATTTCGACGCCGGCACCGGAGTAACCAAGCCGGAGAGATTCAAACTGTTCAAGATCGTCCAAAAACTTGAAGGAACAGAGATGAATGATTTCCTGCTCGACCTATGGTTACCTTTTTCCTTGCCGAGCAACGAGAGATGCGTAGTCGGATTGGTAATTCGGGCATCAAGAGCCTTTCGCAGCGGAGCGAAAAAGATGAGGTACGGAGCCCCGCGGTACGTACTCTTTTATCGCTACGGAGATTGGGGGCGAAGGTGGAGATGAGTAAGTCGTTGCAACCAATAAGACGTCTCCGATAGGGGGCGGGATTCAAAGTTGAATTTTTTTTTTTCACATGGGCCAAGGATGCGATTCTGCTGGTGGATTGTGAGAAACAAAGAGGGAAAAATCGCGCCCGGACTTGCAGTGCCCAATCTAAAAAAAAATCTGTGTTGCGACGGAGGGACACTTGTTGCTGACGACCTACACCACACAAACTCGCCGTCCCACGAGAGAGAGGACAGACGAGAGCATCCTTTTCTTTCCCGCGAAACTCTTTTCCGGTTTTTCCTCCTTCAGAATTGCAGAAGCGAGGTCCCTTTGTTCGCGCGCGCTCTCCCTCTCTCGCCCTCCGACCCCTCTCTCTCTCCGAGTGCTGGTTGTCGCTTCCATGCCTCACCCTGTAACCCCGCCCTTATCGCAGCAGGAACAACACCAAGCGAACATGACCGTCGTGGCCAAGGGCGATGCCCCTCCCCCGCCATCCCAAGAGGAGATTTCCGCCTTCTTGAACTCGATTTTCACCGCGACCACTTCCGCCGCCTCAGTCGATGCCGCCTACGGTCTTTGCGAAGTCTTGAACAACACGGTCGGATACCAAGGTCTTACCCAATATGGAATTCTTGCCGAGATCAAGAAGGCTGCCGCCAACAAGAAGTCTCCTCAGCTTCGCGAGTGTGCCCAAAACCTGTTGGGTGCCCTCTTTGAGCGCATGCCCCCTAAGTCGCCCTTGAGCGAGGTCGTCTTCCTTGTTCAGGATGCTACCCTCGTTCCTGCAGCTCTCGACGCCCTGTCCGACAAGGGCTCCGTCGTTCGCGAGTCTGCTCAGTATGCGCTGGACGCTCTCTTCAACAACCTGAGCGCCGAGGCTCTCGTTGTCGGTCTGCTGCCCGTTCTTCACATCTACCTGTCCAAGAGGACCGGAAAGTGGCAGGGAACTGCTGCTGCCCTCCTCTTGCTCCAGAAGATCGCCGAGAAGGCCAAGCAGACTGTCGGCTCCACCCAAGAGCAGGCTGAAGAGCAGGATGTCCTCCGTGAGGCCATCGGAACAAAGCTGGCTGGCCTCATCCCCATCGTCGAGGGCGGCATGCACGACCTCAAGGCCGAGGTCGAGAAGCAGTCTGTCCAAACTATGACCGCCCTTACCGCCCTCCTTTCCAACGACGACGTCGCTCCTCGCGTGCCCCTCCTCATTGATACCATGCACCACCCCTCCACCGAAACTCTTCGCAAGGCCATCCACGCCCTGTCCATGACGACATTTGTCGCCATCGTCACCTCTCCCGTTCTTGCTCTCTTGACGCCCCTGCTGGAGCGTTCCCTCAACACCCCCTCTACCGCTCAGGAGGTTCTCCGCCAGACCGTCGTTGTCGTCGAGAACTTGACAAAGCTGGTTCACGACCCGATCGAGGCCAGAACCTTCCTGCCCAAGTTGCAGCCTGGTGTGAAGGGTGTCTACGACCGCGCTTCCCTCCCCGAGGTCCGAGAGCTGGCTAAGAGAGCATTGGATGTCATTGAGAAGGCCATGGGTGACGACAAGGATGTCATCGAGCGTGTCTCTAGCGAGGACGTCGGCAAGATCCTTGATGCCGAGATCAAGAAGAGCGGCGGCCTTGCCGTCACCGACATCTACAAGGTGGCTCGCCCCTACGTCTGCGAGCAGGTTGCCGAGGACGTCAACCACCGTTTCGTTCAGCGCATCTCTGGACGCATCGCTCCCTACCTGCAGGCCTTGGCCCCGAGCTCCAACGTTGCCATCGCCGACAGCGTTCAGAAGTACTACGTCGAGGAGGACGAGCGCAAGTACGGTGTTCCCGAGAAGGAAGATGACGGCGAGACGGAGATTGTCAATGCCCACTTCTCCCTGGCATACGGCGGCATGCTGCTGCTTTCCCACACCAACCTGAGACTGCTCAAGGGTCACCGCTATGGTCTTTGCGGTCGCAACGGTGCCGGCAAGTCCACGCTGATGCGCAGTATCGCCAACGGCAAGCTCGAGGGTTTCCCTCCCCAGGATGTCCTTCGTACCATTTACGTCGAGCACAACCAGGGTGAGGATGCCGATATCAGCATTTTGGACTTCGTACTCAAGGACGAGGAGATCGCGGCTCGCGGTCGTGCCAAGGTCGTCGAGGTTCTTGATGAGTTCGGCTTCGGCAGTGGCCCTGACGAGCGCCAGTCGCACAAGGTCGGCTCCCTGTCCGGAGGATGGAAGATGAAGTTGGCTTTGGCTCGTGCTATGCTGAAGGGCGCCGACGTCCTGTTGCTGGACGAACCTACTAACCACTTGGATGTTGCCAACATCGCCTGGCTCGAGAACTACCTCAAGACCCACCCCGACATCACCAGTTTGATCGTTTCTCACGACTCCGGTTTCCTCGACAACGTCACCACGGATATTTACCACTACGAGCCCAACAAGAAGCTTGCCTGCTACAAGGGCAACCTCGCCGCCTTTGTCAAGGTTCGCCCCGAGGCAAAGAGCTACTACACGCTCTCCGCTTCCCAGGTTCAGTTCAAGTTCCCGCCTCCGGGTATCCTGACTGGTGTCAAGTCCCTGACCCGTGCCATTATCCGCATGACCAACGTCTCATACCAATACCCCAAGGCACCCAAGCCCTCTCTCGCTGAGGTTACTTGCCAGCTTACTCTGTCGTCAAGAGTGGCCATCATCGGCCCCAACGGTGCCGGCAAGTCCACGCTCATCAAGATCCTCACTGGTGAGGTCATTCCTAGCACTGGAAAGGTCGAGAAGCACCCCAATTTGCGTATCGGCTACATCAAGCAGCACGCTCTTGAGCACGTTGAGATGCATCTTGAGAAGACCCCCAACCAGTACCTGCAGTGGCGTTACGCCAACGGTGACGATCGCGAGGTCCACATGAAGCAGACCCGTATGCTCTCCGACAAGGATCGCGAGCAGATGGAT